CATGCACCACAACTGGGTTTACAAACAACATGAGCCTTGTGTTTATTGGTCTCGAAAGGAAAACCAAATTCACTGCCATTGAGTCAATTCCGAGTCATAGTGACCCTATAGGGCAGGGTAGAAGTGCCCCTGTGGGTTTCTGGGGCTGTCACTCTTTACAAGAGTGGAATGTCTCATCGTTCTCCCACCTATTGTTCTAGGTGTTCAGAGAATAAAACAATGAGGAGGGAGAGTGGGGCCTGCACTTTTTCGTCCTCTGTCTACCTCTGGAGGCTACAACTTCGGAGGGAGATCAAATCGTCCTCTCATAAACCTATGTTGCATTTGAGACAAGAACATCGGTACCAGGTCACTCAGGAAGTGCTCCCTGTTGACCATCAGATGCTAGCTGAATTTGTCTGAGTAACAGTAGCTAAAGTTGTACAAAAAGGCCAGGATTCAAGGGCAATCATCTAGGTGCCAGACATGGAAGTCAGCAGTTCAAATAACCTAAGTTCTCAGCCTCGGAGAAGATAACCGTATTGCCAACTGAGTAATCATCTCATGGTCTTGAAGAAAATGGTAGTATATATAAAATTCAAACAAAATGTTATTTTTATACCATTCATTAGTTCAGATTATTCATAACAAGAGAATTACAATTTGACTTCATCTATTGGTGATTCTCTGCATACAACATTATACATAGATCTACATTATATAATGTAGATGCTTACTTTCCTATGCCTATAGCTAGCTATCCATCCATGTATTTACATTGGGCTGCCTAAATTTTTAAGGAGCTCTGGTGGTATAGTGGGTTGTGCATTGCTCTGCAAACCACATGGTCAGCAGTTTGAAACCACCAGCTGCAGGAGAACAATGAGACTTTCTATTCCTGTAAAGAGTTACTGTCTCAGAAACTCACAGGGCTAGTTCTTCTACTTGGTCCTACAGGGTTGCTATGAGTCTGAAATGACTTATGGCAGTGAGCCTAATCAGGTGTTAATATCAAAGGTCATATAATTCATCTTCCTAAAGACAAAATGACAATGCTTTGTGATCAAAGCAGAACCTAAGAGGCCTCATCTTCTCTGAAGCTCTGCCACACAGAGGCCCAGCTCACTGTTATTTACACAAATATGCTAACACCAAGACTCTGATGTGGTTTAGACCAAAGGTCTAGGGCCAAGGTAACTTGGCCAAGGTGAATCTGAGACACTCTGCCAAGACTTCTTACCACAATTTACCAACTAACTATACATCTTAGAAGCATACTGAGGGAATGCAAGTGGTTACAGAGAACAAGGATAAAGATAATAAACGATAGGGTATTTGTAGAACTAGGTACTACAAATCTGTGACTTGCACCTATTCTCTTGGGTACCATGAGATTAACAAGTAACATCCATTCACCTAAACCTCCATCAGCATGCTGGTTTTCCACAACCAGGACCACTATTCCCACTTCAGAGGGCAGCAGGATTCTGAGATTTAGTTCCTATGTAATAATAACCTGAAACCAAAAAAGAGTTTGGAAAGTTGTTTATGTCCATGTCCACCAGGAACCTTTCTCTGACAGATTATCACTGCACTGAATGAACTCTAAGACTGGAAATCTCTTCAACAAAGTTCCAAGCTCAAGAAATAGCCTTTAAACTAGGTACTACCTTCCCTTCCCTTTAGTTTTCCCAATTAATGTATTTTCAGCAGGACAGATTAATGAACAACAGCTAACTTAAATACAAAACAAAATGAAACCAGGTTCAATATATCTATAAATGAAAAGAAACTCCTGCTCCTAGAAATACACTCTGCTTTATAATGAGGGTATCTGGGAAGAAAAACCATCTGTAAATGGTTTAATGAAGTTTTAAAACATTATTTCATGTAAATTCTCACAACAAATGTAGGGGATAGGCCTTCTCACCATTTTACAGACACAGAAAGGCTGAATACCCTGCCTCCAGTTGCTCAGCAGGCAAGCGGCAGAGGAAGTACAGAGACAGAACTATCACCATACTCACAGGGACAGCCAACGGCCAAAGACATTTTAGAAAATGACTGTAGTACTGACAAAATTCTCATTCAAAGAAACATGATTACGGAGACAACAATTGCTCAGTCCTTGTCAGGATTTGACCTGAACTTTCCAGTGAACAGCTCAAAGTGGACCACAAAGTTAAACGAGATCATCAAGTACTATAGTTACGGGTAAGGCCAAGAATAGAACACAGGTCTGCTGACCCTCATTCGGATGCCCAATCAGGCATGCTTCTTTGGATGCAACACCCTTCTGATGTTTCAAGTCACTTGAGAACAGCAAAGAAATCAGTTAATAATTCTGGTAGAAAAAACAGAAGAGGTATTTACAATAAAAAGGAGCATGGTTTTAAGATTTGTACCAAGGAGGTTTTGATCCAAAAACACTGGTACCTGCAAATAAATTCTGTTCTCCCCATAGATGCTGAATGATTAGAATGCTCTGTTGATGATTTAGCAAAATGAGTATCTCTTTCATCTGATTACAGAGTATTCATAGATTTACCCTACTACTCACCAAGTTCCTCCAATTCAATACAAAAGACAGTAGGACACTAGGAATGTCTAGCAAATGTCAGGCCATGACACCACTGCCCCACTGCTGGAGATAATTCTCCCATCACTACTTTCAAAAATCACGGCCTGAGGAAGTTGCTGGAAGTAGGAAGATGGTTGGGCGCCAGTGGAGAAATGAGGAATGGAGCCACATGCTTGGGACCGGGACAGTAAAGGACTGATGGGGAAGGGTCTCAAAGTCTCAAGGAAATGGTGTCTGGCAAAGAAGACCAGAGAACCAGTTTAAGAGGAAAAGGCTATTGAGTCGGACATCATCAATAAGAATATGGGACAATCAAAAGCAGGAAGGAAAATAAATCAAAACTTACCATACCTAGAAAAAATTGCAAGGATCTTACCTAGGTTAAAGGGTACTTTTGCTACCAAAGAGCTAAAGATACTGTAGACTAAACTGTCTAGTGTTTACAAATGCTAGATAGCAGTTTTCAGATTTGGTGCTTAATCTTGTTATAATTTTATCTTTTAAAACAATTGTTGAGAGAATGCTTACATCCAATTCTTTATGGCCTACCATTTTTAGTTAAACACTGAGATAAACAGAACACACTGACAAGTTGGTACAATCTGTAGGACAAATCTACTGATGGATGGCTCTCATTTTCACTCAGCCAAACCAAAATTCCTACACTTAAGATGAAGGCATGCTATGTTTTAAAAGTTTATCTCAAACTTCAAATGAGTGAAATACAGAAACATTTAAAGTATAGCTTTTACTAATCTATATTAAATACCTTTTTCTAGTCTGTTCTGTCAAAAGCAAAAAAATGAATGGATTATATACAGAGCTACATAATCACTGCTATGGGAGTCGATGTTGACTCATAGCAACTCTATAACAGAGGGCAGAACTGTGCCCCTTTGAATTTCTGAGGTTGTAACTGTTTACAGGAGTAGAAAGCCTTATTTTCTTCTAAGGAGCTTTTCTGGTGGTTTCGAACCGCCAACCTTGCAGATTACATCCCAATGCACAACCACAATACCAACTTGGACTCCTTCTGATAGCTACATAGTGGTACATATTTATATATGGTTCAATATTTCTAGAGTTCTCTTTTTTGTTATTATTCTCAAGTTGAGCCATTTCAACTTCTTGAGATGGCACTGAGTGAAATATATATATTGATTTGCAATACCTGGTCCCACTGTCAGATAAATTGGGCTGCAAACTAATAAGGTCAGTAGTTCAAACCCACCAGCTTGCTCCTTGGGAGAAAAATGAGGCTATCTGCTCCAGTAAAGATTTACAGCCTCGGAAACTCAAGTCCTTGACTCAATGGCAATGGGTTTGATTTGGGTTTATATTTGCAATCTCAGAACTCTTCTCTCCCCTGCTATGAGCTATCACTGGTCCTTAAGGTATTTTAATATAAAGTGTCCAGAAACAGTTTGTCTTTAAAAAAGAGAATTAAAATTAAGAGGAAATTGAAAACTAACACAATTATAAAACACACACACACACACACACACACACACACACACAATCTACCTTTAATGGCTATCCCATATCCTCTTTCTACTCCCTAAAAAAGCTGCTTGCTGTTTAAACAGATTAAATATCCCCTATCATCCAAGTGCAGGAGAGGTGAGCCCATCCATTCCTGGGTCCTACTCAGTAAACACAGAGGAGTGGCTATCCCAGCTCCACCTGAATTCTTCCCTATAGCTTGGCCTAAATGGAAGCAAGGCTCTCCCCCACCCTCTTCCTTTATCATCTGCAGCAGATCAGGAGAGCAGGCAGTAAGAGGTCAGCAAGGTGGAATTCCAAAGCCAACATTCTCTTCCTTTACCTTCTCTTTGAGTTTCTTCAGATCTGAATCTCAGCTTTGTAGTGTATCAAAGGAATTTTCAGAACCTCATTTTAGCAACTCAGAAGAACCCTATGTATTTGGTCTAATGAAAAGTGCAAACTTTTAAGGCCAGAATATTAATGAGTTAAAACTACTTTTCAAAGCATAGCAACATTAGAGAAAAATACCCAATAGAATTCATAGTGTATTTAAGTACATATCTTTTAATTCTGTTTCAATTGGTTGATAGTATTTGTCAATTGCCAAATGCAAACTGTTGATAAATGACATTTCCTATTTTAGCTACTGTCTTTAAAATTAGGTGTTAATTCCACAGCTCCACCTAACCCTCTGTTCTCAAACACTTTACTGTCCTTACAGTTACGACAGAAATCTGCATTTTCCCAAAGGATAAGCATAATCTGTATATTGACTATAAAAACCATGAGCCGAAACTACATGCAAAGGCAGTAAAGCAAACAGAACCCAGAGGCCGGCCTGAGTCTGAGCACAGCTCAGAGTTAAAGGGAACCATTTCATAAGATCAAATGCCGAGAAGCAGCAGGAGCAAAGAAGGAAAAAAAATCAAGTTACATAAAGTCCAATTGTACTCACTGTTTCCTTATTGGGAAGCAGCTCCTTTCTAATTCTGAAGAAGTTCTTGCCGTACTGCCTCAGCCCCTTAACGAAGCGTTTCTGTGATAAAACAAAACAACAAATGTGATGTAAAACCAAAAACAAAACAGGATGTCAGCAAGGCAAAGATGTCTGCAATCAGCAAAATAACCACCACAGAAAAGTCTTGGCTAGGGAATACTGAATCCGCCAGGAGAAATAACCCAGGAGCACCCCAGGGACCCACCGGCCGGGGCCAGCCCCAGCAGCCTCACCAGACCCCCAACCAACCACGCAGGTCAGGGCATCTCTGGAAAGAAAGGCTGTGGACGCTAAGCAGCAGTCTCCCCTCTGTGACACTAGTCTCCGCATTGGTTCACGAAGGTATAAACAGCAAACAGGCTCCGCGTTTCCTTAAAACTGCACAACTGCTTTTCAGTGAGAACGAAGCTTCTCAGAAATGCCGAGCAAGACTGTGTGTGTGTGTGTGGGGGGGTGTCGTGTGTGTGTGTGTGTGTGTGAAACCTGGTGGTGACTTTTCTCTAGAAAGGCACCAGGGAGGGTTAAAAAGCCCCCATCCTTAATCCAAAGAATTCGACAGGAAGGCACTAACACCAGGAAGCTCCCCGAGAGCCCCAATCCCAGCTGGTTTGCTTACCACCCCTGTCATTATAAGCCGCTCCGGAGTCACCAAATAAAGAATGCACGGCACCCTTCCTTCCCCCCACCCCCATTTCCTTAGCAGTCTCAGACTCCGTCCCCGAGCCCGGCCAGGAGACTTTCACTTTGTCCCATTCCTTCTGGGGCGCTCCCTCCCAGTCCGGTGGAGGCAGTTCCCAAAGCCCCTACCCCCACACCTCGGGCTCGGAGCCTGATCCCTCGGAGCACT